TTGACTCCCAGCGTGGTTAGCTTACATAAGAAACATTATAGAACTGATGTAGGTATTTAATTTTTTCCTAACTTATTTGATAACTCACAACTTATATCAAAGTTAGAAAATACTGTCCTGCTCTCAGAACCCCAGTTACATCAGTTAGGATGAATTTTTAAGAGTAACATTTTAGATTGTTCAAACAGAAGAGGCTTGAGCAGGTTTGCTTTGCCAGTTGAGACTTGTTTCTTTTTCTAGTTAAAACAGTGACTTAGAGGTTATTTTACGGGCACTTGGGAGGAATTTGAGAGAGTAAATTTTGAGTATGTTTTGCCTATGTGGGCTTAATTCTGGTAATTGAATTCTGGGGAAAAATCTGTCATTCATTGATTATCTGTGATCCTTACCTGGCTTTTATTTACTGAGCTGCTAAACCATATGTGGATGCCAGGGACAGTAAACCATCAAATATGGCCCAGATTTCTTGTTTCTGAACCACGGGAAGGTCAGAGAAGCAATGCTGCCCTTTCTGATTAACCTGTAGCACCAGTGGGCACACTGTTGCCTCCAAATCAAGTGCATCATCTCCTTTGGATGTTTTAGAAGACCACTATAAAATGGATCACTGAAAATGGATCATTTATTCTTTTTCTTTTTTTCTGTATTGGCCACTGAGAGCTCACAGAGAAGTGAGTTATTAGAAGGTGGCCAGTTTACACAAAAGGTGGGCCAGTTTACATAGAATTGGGAATTATTTTTCTCTAGTTTTGAAATGAGTATGTACTTTCTAATCTAGTTATTTAACTGTAGAAATGAAGTTATTTTTACATTCCCACGAGTATAGGTATTATAGGTATAAAATAAATTTGACAAGTTTTATTTCTGTACTAGGATCTAGTCAAAACACTTCTAACCTAAGTGTCTATCCAAAGAAAACCTTTGCTGGCTTGATAATAAACATAGACTGAGTCCAGATTCCACAGCCTAGTGCTCAAGGACAATCAGTTGTGAATTTATTTGGCTGCAAGTAACAGTGACACAAAGAATGATGCCCTAAATTGTTAAGATGGCAATTTAGGGTTAATATTATACTTTTTGCTCTATCCTCTTTTCATTCTCAAGATCAACTCGTGGTCATAAAGAAGCCACTGTAGTTCAGCCATGACTTCCATATTCCAGGCAAGAAAACAGAGGAAGGACATACTAATGTTTTTGAATCATTTATCTACTGCTGGTTTTGTATGTTTTCTCTCTCTTTTGGTGGGGGGGGGCTGGCTGGCCGTTATGGGGAACTCAACCTGAGCTAACTGGCCAGCCCCTTAAGTGTGTTTTCATACACACATTTAAGAGCAAGATTTTAGCAAGGTCAATATGTACTGTGAACTGGTTCATTTAAGTGAAATAAAGTTAGTTCTAAATTAGGAAGAAAAAAAAAAAGGCAGAGGAAGGCATACATTAGCCCCCCTTTTAAGTAGCATTCCAAAAGCCCCACCCAATAACTTCTGCTTACCTACCAGTTAGTCAGAATTTAGTCATTTGGCTACCGATATCTGCCAGAGAGGAAGGGAGTGTAGTTTTCCATGCTAACTTATCCCTGATTCAAAAAAATCAAAATGGAAAGGCCATTCTATATTAAAGCAGAAGGGAATGATAGATGTTGGTAAGAATCCAGCAGGCCTTTGTCATCTGTCTTAGACTGTCTTTTGATCTCAACCGCTTTTTTAAGCATGTTACATTGTGAGAACACTTTGCACGCACTGAGAATACCCTTTCCTATCTCCCCCCACCAATTTGTTCACATGCTGAGAAGCTTTTGACCCCTATCCTAACTGCTTCTTACCTCTAACACGTTGCTCAGATCACAGTTCACACAGGAGGCCTTTCCGGGCCCTGCAGTTATACTTATTAGCCGCCCCCTTTGTTCTTTCATCTCTCTGCCATCGCCCTTGTCATGGTTTAGCCAGTGTGTTACAGTTCCACAGTTAACTCTCATATCCTCTCTGATTCATACCCAGCCCGCTGCCTCGTATAATACATTGTACCTAAGAAATATTTTATATATGTTTATTGAATTTTATTCCAGACCTAATGCCATTTAGAGACTAGGAGAAAGTCATTTTGTGCAACATTTTTCTAAGGTTTTTCTTTTTGTAAGAAGAAAAAAATTGTTTATATCAGCTCTATGAGCATCCTATCACATTTAATAGCTGCTGGCTAATTGAAGGGTTGTTGGTCACTTCTCTGTATAGTTTGGTAGTTGGAAGTGCAAACTGCAGTTTGTTTTAAAATGCTGACCCCCTAAACATGTAAGAAACCTTAACAGTTATGGCCTCTTAGAGTGTGTGCATTTGATGTGCCCAAGATTAGAGCACTCTGCTGAGAACAAAGAAAAAGGGAGGAGAACAATAAAAACTTTTGTTCCTATTAAAGCACCTGAAAGCTTTAAATAAATAAATGGATGGTCATCAAGCTGGTCAGGGGGTCAAAGGGCAACTCAGCCTGGAGCCTTCAAGTTTACTCTTGTCATGAAGGGTCCTCTTCTAAATAAACTTTTTCATGTTTTTAGGTGGCATTTTCTAAACTACTTCTTTATGTTTTTAGAGATATTTTCAAATTTCAATTAGTTTAGGAGGTTATTACCTTGACTTGCATTTAATAATTCTAAGATGTTTAATTTTTCTTCTTAAATATGGCATTCTGTGTGCCTCAGTGATACTTGATTATTCAGATTGTATTTATATATAAACATTAAGATTTATGGAACATCTTTTTTTTGTTAAAATTAAAAAATTTTTTAAACTCACATTTCTTGATGATAGGGTCTAGAAATTACACAGAGAGGCTTGCTTCTGGGACTTTTTAAAAAAAACTGCATATAAACCATCTACCAGGTATACAACTGACTGAAGGGTAGCATTGAAAGGGCCTCCTAGAGAGTTCATTTCTTCTCACAGATCTGAATGAAATTGTTTCTCTTGGCGTTTAATGCCATGTCTAAAGTCAGATTTTAAGACTTTTCCAAGTATATTTCTCTACCATTTACACTCTGCTCATCTTTCTGCAAGCTTTTAAATTAAACCTCCTGCACAGCACAGTCTAAGGATTAGTAGTGGTACAGAGTCTAGCTGGGGTGACAAATAAACAGGCAGGAAAGGCCTGAGAGTAAAATTAGCAAATAAGCACTGTGGAATGCAGGTGAGGGAAGGGTAAGTGAGAACTGAGTGAGGAAATGTAGAAAGCAAAAACAACACGTATGTCAGTTTTACAGGAGTGTTGGAGTTTTTAAGGAAATGATGTTTGAGAATTGTCAGAGAGGATTTGGGAGCATATCCCAGAATGATGAAGAGCATGGGCTATTATGGGAAGGAACAGGGGTTAGGGGCTCCAAAACTTGGGGTCATTGTTGACTTCCTTCCCTTAGGTCCTTAGGGCCTATCTGCTCTTCGCTCAGTGGTTACTGATGCCTGCCTCTTCCAGTCGCCAACACAAATCATGCCTTTCTCATGTCATACCTGAATGTTTTCACCAGTTTTCTAACTGCTGTCTCTGCCTCTGGACACTTTCCAGTCCATCCTACATGTTATCACCATGCTAATATTTCCAGAACTTTGATTTTTACCAGGTAATTCTGCAGGTGATGGTAAAACTTTACAAAATGGCCTACAGATAAAGTGTAGACCCCTCAGTCTAACGTTTAGGGAGAACATCGTTATCTAATACCACTCACCTATGATTGCTTCTCATTCTTCCACCAGCACTTCCCATCTTTTTAATCTATGGCCTCGTGAGTGTACCCTAACTGAATAATAGTCTGCTTTGCTGTATAATTCACTTCTCCTTGTAATCTCCTGTGTCTTCTCATGCTTCAGGATCCAACACAGGCCTCTTCTCTGAAGTTTTCTGTACAAATCTATATGGATCTGCTTATATGATGATTTCTTCATAGATTTCCTAGATTCCACCCATTTTGTTCATAAATAAATGTTGCCTTGAATTAAAAACCTGTCTCTTTATCTTGATCATAGGCTCCTTGAGACCAGTACCCAAGCTATATAATTATTTTTCATCTATTATAGAATTTGGCGGAGAACCATAAACGTATTTGGTAAAGCAAGGTTTCTCAGTCTGGCACTATGACATTTTGGGCTGGATAATTTGTTGTGCTGGGCTACTAAATGCCAGTAACACTCCCTCTGCAGTGTGAAAACCAAAAATGTCTCTAGACATTGCCAAATGTTCCCAAGGGGCAAATGCACCCCCAGTTGAGAACTGCTGCTATACAATAAACAGGATAAATTCCAATTAGTCTGTGAAAAAACTTGAGTGATGGTATACAGCAATTTGAGGTCTTGAGGGAAGTGGAACTCAGCTGATGGAAGAGAGTAACTGTCAAACTGAGAACTTTCTTTGCTATGATAAGCCATAGAAAGGCCATTATAGATTGAAGAGAAGTTGTAATGCATCTTAGGGTTAAGAAAGATCAAGGTGACTGAAATATCCTTGAATTGAAGTTATAAAAAATGTCATCTTATTTTTTTTCATTTTGAATCATTTCATGGTTAGAAATACTATTTCCAATAAAATAATTATTTTATTACTTAATTGGAAATTTATCTGGATTTCATACATACTCAGTATCTTCGTACTAAGAATTACTTTTTAAGTGTATTTGAGAGAATGAGTTTGAAATTGTTGTTGCAAGTTATTGTAATGTTATGACTATTGACAAACACATAGTTTTATCTGTTTTTTCTTTTTCTGACTATTGTCCTCAAGTTCAGAAAATTCTCCAGCCCCAAACACATCATACACACACACACACACACACACACACACACACAACATGTGTGTTTGTTTGTGTGAAGACAGTGTCTATAGGAAACAGTGATTTTGTACACTTCTGCTTTGTTGTAAGTTCTTAGTTGTTTCTTTTATTATCAAGCTTGTTTGTGACATTTATGCTATAGGGTTGGTGTGCTGTTGACCTAGAAATAATGCGTGATATCCTCTTTTCACAGCTGTGTGCCAACCACGATGCAAGCATGGTGAGTGTATTGGGCCAAACAAGTGCAAGTGTCATCCTGGGTATGCTGGAAAAACCTGCAATCAAGGTAGGAAAACAGTCTGACATAAATACACAATCTAAGCCACCTCTGTTCCTGCCAAATTAAGAATATTTAACTCTCATCCCAAACTACTTTCCATAGCTATTTTTCCAAACTATGTGACCTGTCATTTTGCTGACAGATACAAATATAATAATGGTAAATATTGTAAAATTTGTTTTATCAAAGGACAACTAAACAAACTGTATCCCCTTATTCTTATTCTCTAATACTAATTAAAATGTATTTTGAAGAAGAAAATCACTGTATAGGTAATATAGAAACCTTCTGGTACTCTTCGTTCATCCACTAACTAGTGGGGAAGCCTTGGGCACATTGTTAACCTCCTCAGACACCAACCTGTTACTGTTCCCCTCTAATACCAGAAGTCAGGTATGGGACTTGACTTGAAATTTGGAGATTCCTTTCAACTCTAAGCCTTTTGATTCTGTGATTAAATCTTCAACTGCTGACCAGTTTGGAATGTTCCTCTAAGAAATAAAAATGTTGATTAATTTAGCAAGTGATTTAAAAAGAAAATCACCAATTGCTCATAAAAGCAGAGATTAATCCAACACTCACAGTACCCCACATATTTTATATATATTACCGATTTTCATCCTTATAAAAACATTAGGAGGTGGAGTATTGTTTATTATAATTAAGGTATAAATAATAACTTATTAATTATTACTCCATTTGTCATTTGGAGAGACTGAAGCTCAGCAATATTAATTATCTTGCCTAAGTTCATAAAATCAGTTGGTAAAAGAGCTAGTATATTAACTTAGAGCTATTGTCTATATAATCCATATTCATTCTATCATACTAGGTTTGGATGAAGAAAGCATAATTGGAAATGTGATCCTCTTGTTCATGCTAACAAGTCAGACAAAGCTTGTCTTTTTAATTAATTTCAGCCCAAAATTTCTACCATTAGTAGTTAAAAAGCTAGCAATAAAGAAAAGTTAGGGTTAGATTACCCTAAAAAAAAATAAAAGAGTGATAATTTTCTTATTTCTTAAAGTAATACTCTCTATCACAATGACGTGATGTCTAACTATCCCATTGATACTTATTGACCTCATCTGATACAGAAATGATATTGTTGAAGCACTGCTGTTCTTCAATGTCTAATTCCAGGACCTTGGGGTGAGTCATGTAAACTAGTGATTTATAGACATCGTTTTTACAACTATCCAGAACACTGAGTTTTGAAAGTATTGTAATTATTCATGAACCATTAGATAAAATCCATGCCAGTAAAATATGACATGTCCCAAACGGTAGGAGAACCTGTTATTCTAAAGTGTGTTCCTGTATTACCTGTTCTTTGATTTATTACTATTTTCCCAGTGCTGCTTCTCTATCTTATACTACTACTTTTTTTTTTTTTTAAATTTGGAATTTACCAAACGTACCTGGGTGGTCTATTGAAATAAGTGGTGCTCGTATTATCTCAGCTTGCTCATTTAAAAATCTACTTGATTTTCCTTCCCCAGCCTAAGTTCACAAGTAGCAGCATGTTAGGTTTTGGTTACTGAGCTATTAGTGTTCATCTTAGAATCTCAGTATACTTCTTTTTTAAATGTGGTGAACATAAACCCTCAGAGGTTTCATTGATATGTCAGACTATAAAACTTTGTTGTCCTAATGTCAGGAATATATATAAAGAAGACTTTTAAGAGAAGTTACTTTTGAGATTGTAGAGAAATTCTTTTAAATTTATTTGCAGGATCTACATCAACTTTTAACATGCTTCAAAGACACTAAAACTGTTATTGGAACAAGGCTCCATCACTGGGTATCTCTTATTTTTGAAAAACCAGTTTACTATGTAATATCTTCTGTAACATATACCTATTTGTTTAAAGAAAAACTGGAATGTATTGAGTTAAAATCTTGCCTCCCCAAACCATATTCCTTAGGGAGAAGAGGATTCCACTAGTAGCAAAATGGGATTTTACATCTGCAAAAGTAGTGCTCACACCAAAAATATAATTTTAAGTCCAATCTTGAAGATAGAACTCTAGCTTAGCATAAACCTATGTATTTTAATCAACTCTTACTTTGTCCTTCTTACAAAAAAAGCAGTTGTGACAGGTTCCTGATAGAAAGGTTTATGCTCCTTGAGAGCAGGAACCCTTTGTGGTGTCTGCCTTATATCTGGGTTCCTGAAAACTATTATTAAAGTGACTTGCACATGGTAAGTGTACAGTAAATATTTGTTAAATGAATGACTCCTTTATATGATCCTGACTGCCATAGGATCTTGAAAGAGTTGCATGAATTGTCCATTATGGCACCTTAGACAGTTTCTGAATTTGTGGACTGAGAGCCCAGTCAGGTTGAGAGAGGCTGCCGTGAGGGACCTGGATAAGTGTGACAGCTGCCTAGAGACCCCCATTAAAGTCATTAGAGCAAATCGTCTAGAGCCGCTACGTAACAAATTAACCAACACAGTTTTTATCCAGGCCCACACATTTTAATAAAGTAGACATGTCTCACAGATATAGGAAATCAAACAGCTTTCTTTTTTCTTGAGGAGAGAAATGTCAAGAAAAAGTAACTTGAAATAATTTCATACAGCTGGAAATTAGTTTTTGGGTAAAAGTAGGTTCGGGTATAAGGCAAGTATTCACTAAGCATTTTGTTGCCAATTATGTATGAGGGTACTTCAAAAGGTTCACAGAAAAATAGAATTAAAAGATAATACAAATCTTTCCGTGAAGTTTTTGAAGTACACTTATATTTTAAGAAATAACCCCCTGGGCCGGCCCGGTGGCGCACTGCTACAGTGCGCCGCTTGCGAGTGCTGCGGCGCTCCCGCCGAGGGTTCGGATCCCACATACAGACCAGCTTCTGCTCACTGGCTGAGCGAGGTGCGGGTGCAACACCAAGGGTTGCGATCCCGTTGCCGGTCCCGGTCCAGTACGGGCGCAACACTGAGGGTTGCGATCTGTTGCCGGACACGAAAAAAGACAAAAAGGAAAAAAAAAAAATAACCCCCTGGAAACTTGCTGGGAGTAGGAAACAGCTTGAATAAGTGACAAGTACTTAAGCAGTGCTTTTAGAGCTGCCTGGGGAGCAACCAGAATAGCAGGGCAAGCTGCACTTTGGAACCGACTTAATTTTACAACCTTGTCACAGGCTTACTGTGACCTGCTGTTGGTGGCTTGCTCTTCCCTCTGAGTCATTTTCTGGATTTGCCACACCTAGATCAGGTATAAAATCACAGGTTTAGACTGATCATTAACATACTTTATAAGGTACACAGTAGATGAAATCCTAACTCAAATGCTGGCAAGATCCTCTTTGATCATTTGTTCTCCCCTTACTCTCTCCTGTAATTTTATTTATGCATATCTTCCCCATCCTTGAGTCTCTGTGCTCCAGACAAATCCTCTTTGCCCCCAGCCATAAAAGAATTATAGATAATAATCTTTTTATAACTTTCCCAATGGAGGATGATTTTTACCATGTAAATATAGCATATCATTGCATATTTTCAGAAATGAAAGACATTCTTTTGAATTCACAATGTACTTATAATAATTTTAGAGGAAACAATTTATAAATATTAATGACTAATGTTTTGGTATGGCTTATATTTTATATATTGAATTCCTCATACCAAGTAAAGAATCAGTTTCCTTTAGCACAGCACCAGATGTTAAATTTTGGTGGACTGGTTACATCTGAAAGTTGATTGCTTCTCTAAGCACAATAATCTAAGTGCTCCAACCCTGATATTAAGGTGGTTGCCTACATTCTTACTTTTTGAAGGATGTATAGTTTCAACCCCAGAAACCAATGTTTATTTGATTTGGAAGTTTAACTGGCTGTTAATAACACAATAGTCTCAAAACAGAATATGATCGCCGTTTTGACTCTCTGCTTTGGAGTCTCATCCATCTTATAAAATTTTGGTCAGCTCATAATGGCAACAGTTTACATTTTTTGCATAAAGCTTCTTATGTATGTTCTCATTAACTATGATCTAAATGTAGCATAAGTTCTTACATTTGAATAAAAACATTGATGATTTATCATGCTTTTATTCAAATATGGTCTTTATACACATCACAAGTTTGTGCATAATTTTAGAGTATTTTAAACTACTATTGTATGATATAATAACATATGAAAAAAATCTTAAGTTGTTCATTTAAGATTTCAGTGTCCCTAAACCGAGCAGATTGATTATAACCAATATTAGTACAATCTGTTTTTTGTTTTCTCTCTTCTGTTGATGATTTAAATTATGCTTTTAAAAAATGACCATCTCTTTTTTTGGTGTTTTTTTTTTAATGGTATGAGAATGATAGATTGTCAATTTATAATATGTGTGTTGTCCTTGGGAAGCAAGATAACAACAGTAAGTTTTTAGGAAAATAAAAATTAAAGAAAAAGAGAAACCAGAAGAACTAGAAACTATTGTTTGTAAAATATCTAAAGCATTCTTTTAAAACTCCACCAGCTTTCTGTAATTGTTTAATGTATACTTGCAAAGATTTTTAGGGCTAAAAATGACATCAGTTCAAAGTTGACTCTTATTACCTTCTTCCTGGTGTGAAGACGAGCACTTCTACCCAACTCCTCTTGACCAAGGCAGTGAACAGCCTCTTTTCCAACCCCCGGATCATCAAGCCACAAGTTTACCTTCAAGGGGTGAGCGTGCATTGTCTCAGGTGGTCTGCTCCTCCCACCTGCACGGCTTCCTGCAGTTATGTCACTTCTTGCAAATGTTCTGAAGACTAGCCCTGGAGTGCCCAATCTTCAGCCCTGAGCATGTGAAGCAAGCAGCAGGAATTGCCACCTGGTGCTGATTCTCTGTGCTCTGAAAAGCATGGAGCCTCCACTGTCCTTTTATTGCATCAAGTATCATTGCTTTTCCTCTTCTTTTCTGGGTTTTAAAACTTTCTAAAAATCAGATAGCAAAATGACTTTTGTTTTCATATGTAGGCAAAGTCAGGAATTCCAAAGCAACTGAGATTGGGGTTTTGATACCTTTTACCAAGTAGATTTTAGAAGTGATCAAGTCCTGTTCCCTACTACCATTTATTTGAGGTTACTTGAGTTTTAGGTTACCTGGAAATCAAACCATACATTAGCTTCTTTCTTTTTGGTGTACATTTTGTGATACCAGAATACCCAAGTTGTGGTTCCAGGACGGCACTTAACTAGCTGTTTGATTATGAGCAAGTCATTTAATGTTTCTGGGTCTTAGTAAACCAGTCAGTAATATGGGGACAGTATCCCTGCCCTATTTGCCTGTGGAGGTGGTGTGAGAATAGAAACACCAAAAATATTAATACCTTTATTGTGCTGGAAAGTTTTGTAGAAAAGTAAGGTGGTAGCACAATTTTAGAATTCTTCTAAGAGACTTTACTCCTCATCCACTCATAGGTTAAGGAACGTAGAATAATTGAATTAAAATAGTTTAAATTATTAATTATTGTCTCTCTGCTAATAAGGAACTTGATGCATTTGTATGTCTTCTGCACAAAGAATTAGGGCAATACAATTAATTTAAGGCCATTGATAATTTGAAGAATAAAACTTATGGAAGTTCACATATTGACATCTGTTTGCTTATGACCTCTACTTTAGTCAGATATAATTTTAAATCCTAGATTTCTGAAACATTGTCCAGTTTAAGCATCAAAGGGAGGAAAAAGCATTAACTGCATTAAAATGAAAGATTATTTTCCTTAAAACTCCATTGGATTATCTTATTCGATGAATCTCTTCCAGATTTTTCAAGCTACTTTTCAGTGTCTGCATGCTAATAAAATTTCTGATTCTTTTTTTCCTGAAGTGTAATAATAATGCTTTGCAGCTTGCATTTCTGTTCTGGACCAGTTTCCTTCTCCCACCCAAGGTCCTGAATCCACCATCCTGCTTAAGTATACTCCTTTTGTTAAAGATTCTCTTTAAGAATTTTATACATGATCATTAAAGCATTTGAATGTAAGTGGTTTAATAGTAAAGTTCTGTTCTTTGGTGTGACAAATAGGTGTGTAATAGAATTTATTAGATCTTTTTATTATAGATTTTTCTTATAATTTATATTACATTATAAACTTCCAGAGAAAGAGCAAGATTAAAGTAAATTTAAAACAAAAACACTGAAGTTTTATTTTCTAGGTTTTGTTACTAACTCTTAAGATTTCAATGAGAGAGTGTGACCAAGGAGGGTTTTCCTAGTCATTGTTTTGTTTTGCTTCTTATTATAGGGGCATTTATAATTTGGAAGTGCCATTTTTAATTTGACTTAATTTGATAATAACACAAGAGTTACTAGGACTGTAGTTCAACAGATTGTGATAATAAATACAGCAGTTATTGGAAGCAGCAAATATTTAACTCAATTTTATGAGGCATTAGGTCAAAAAGAAAATAAGGTAACATAATTATGAAATAGAAACCCTCAAGAAAATTGAGGACATAAAGGTTCCTCACCAGGACACCAGATGGATTTAATCCTTTGCTCCCTGCTTTAGCAAAAGTCTGATATTTGGTAAATATTGATGATCAATGACTGCGGAATCCTCTTTCATAATTTCTGCAGTGGTATTTGTTAAGGTCAGTGAGAAGTTTTTAGGAGACACTTGCTTGTGGCAGGCAGATGGGACAATGATCAGTCCCTGGGGATATCAACAGTAGCCACCTGTCAGGGAATGTCGTCCAGCCCATCAACAGCTGTTAGAGTACAGCTTTCTCAAATTGCTTTCCACATTGCTTATGTGTCAGATTAACAACAGGTAAAGTAGCCAATAAATGTCTCTACATTTACCCATTGAATGTTGCAAGTTTTCTTTCTTTTCCAAATTATTTCATAGAGTGATTTCCAATATTTTTTTGGTATTGTGACAGCTTATATGTTTTTATTTTTCCCTTTAATTCTTAACCCCAAAGTGCTTTTTGCATGGGAAGGGAAGTATAAATTTGGGTTGAAGCCATTCTCTGAGACAACTAGCAGCCCCAATCTGGATTATGAAGACTCCCATAGCCATCTCGAGGGGCCCTTTATTTGCCAAGACTGGAGCCAGGTTGTGGAAGAGTTGCCTCAGCTGGGACATAGTGTCTGAAGAGATTGCCATCAGCATAAATAATCCTTGTTTATGAGTTGCCTGGAGCTATAAACATCTGACCAGTTCACATCAGGAACTCACAGAAGTTTCTGTGGCTTTTTAAAAATAAACCTAGAGATTCTTTTTTTTTAAAAAAGATGACCGGTAAGGGGATCTTAACCCTTGACTTGGTGTCAGCACCACGCTCAGCCAGTGAGCAAACCGGCCATCCGTATATGGGATCCGAACCCGTGGCCTTGGTGTTATCAGCACCGCACTCTCCCGAGTGAGCCACAGGCCGGCCCAACCTAGAGATTCTTAATTGACAGTATTTTTTACCCATCAGTAACCTTTTGGGGTGGCCAGCTAGCTCAATCGGTTACAGCATGATGCTGATAACACTAAGGTCAAGCATTCAGATCCCCTTACCAGCCAGCTGCTCCCCCCAAATAATAATAATAGTAACCTTTTCTTGAGATATAGAATTCAGTTGTACTGTATGGTTTTCTTGTGCCGTCTTGCTTTATTTTTGTTTAGTGCAGAAAAAATTTTAAAACATAAAGCCTTTCTCTAACAATGTACTCAGATTTAAATACTGTTTACTATAATATCAGTCAGGGATTTATCAAAGCCAGGTGCGACTCTGCAGAACCGTATTAGGAATGGTAATTACCTCCTTTTAGAAGATGAGTAAAGATTCCCCGACTCTAATTTGTAATAAGTATTGAAATACAAGGTAGAAGAATATGAGAAGAGGAGAGAATTTCTTTCTTAGTCACTCCTTGATTTGTACTTTATTTAACAAAGGGAGAAATCAGCCTTTTTTTTTTTTTAATACTGTAGTCTGCAAAGCACCATCTATGGGGAATTTTTTTGGAAATATTTTTAAATGTGATTCTGTTTGAAAACCCTTGATGGGCAAGAGACAATAAAATAGAAAATCGAAGAAAGTATACGAGATGATGACAAAGGTACTTGGTTTATTTATTTAACCTTTTAACTTGGTGGCTTTAAATGAAATATACATATTACAATTAAATGAGCAGGTCAGATTTAAATTTGATGAGATTTGAAAACAACTTTATAACTAGATGTATTATCTATATTTCTTATTCAATGACATGGATTGATAGATAATTAAATTATGTTAATCAGGTACTTATGATGGTGGTTCGAGACAAAATAAACATGTGGTTACATTTCTTTTTAATGAAGTCTATATTTTAGACATTAGTATTTCAATGTTTACTTGTCATTATGAGTTTTATGTTCACTTGAGGCAGTGTTCAACTTGGGTTGGAAATTTTCATAATGTGAAATTCATTAATTCATTTTATATAAATATAAATATAAATATTTAAACCAATAAACCTAAAATACATACTGATAGTTTGTTATGTTTTGTACATTAGTATTTCCATATGCCCTTCTTAACTGTCAAATGAATAAAAATATGTTGGAGGGATTTTTTCTAAGTTCATTTAGTGATTTGAACACATTGCTGAAGTATGAGGGTACTTCAAAATTTCACAGAAATTCTATTTTTTCATGAACTTTTTGAAGTACCCTTGTAGGAAACTGAGGTTTCTGATTTAATCTGTGGTCAGTATAGATGTACAAGACTTAATAAGATAAACCACAAGAATAAAGGCTTTAATTTCCACAGTTCTTATCCTCTGAATATGCAGCTCTCCTTTGGAGAGGTCAAAATAGTCTGCTGTTTTAAAACCGTATACTTACTGTGAAGTAAAATATGCTCATGTAGTATCTTCTTGAAGCAGAGAAAAGACATTGAAAGAGTAAAATCACACTGTCAGGAGTGAATCCAGTCATAGAACCCAGATGTTTTGAGAATATCACCAGTCAGATAGATGATATAGCCCTTTGTCCATGAGGAGCTTATTACGCTGCTCTTTCTAGGGATGATAAGGTAGGCACGTGTCTGTGAGGAGAATCTTCCTATCGATCCTTTATGGACAGAGATTCATAAAAGTCAGGGGGCTCCTGGCCTCTCCTAGTTTAACCAAGATTCAAATTAAGATGATGTGCACAAGCTTTATCTCTTATGTAAATGGTTACTATAGCTTGACCTTTCTTCTTTACTTTTTGATATAGAGAAGTATTTTAAATGTTTTACATTATTTCTGATCTTTTGTGATTTTTCTGCTTCAACCCACATTCTTTTCAGATCTAAATGAATGTGGCCTGAAGCCTCGGCCCTGTAAGCACAGGTGCATGAACACTTATGGCAGCTACAAGTGCTACTGTCTCAATGGATATATGCTTATGCCGGATGGGTCCTGCTCAAGTATGTCAAGAATCTTAACTGTTTTATAAGTGCTTTGGGCTTGATTTCTGTCGGTAGCATGCCTTTGTGAAAATGGCCTCCCCACGCCTCCTAAACAGAATATGTGCGTGTGTTTATATGTGGGCCTAAGGAACTGGAAATCAAAATAAGAGGTGCCTATTCTAGATGTATAACTTTCTTTTACCATGGATGCCAATATTAAATTGATTTGGAAATGGTATTTGGAACAGAAATTACAAAACTAAATGTATTTTCTAACGTTTTTTTCCAGCATGTTTATCCCTATCGTCTATCTGGGCACAGAAGAACTATTCCAGGTAGAAAAAGAACATTAGTGACTATTTGGGGATTGCTCAGAGAGAATCCATCATTCATAAATACCTTCTTGCTTCATTTTTATATTTCTTTATAATAGTCTAAAGACTTTTAGACTTTTATAATAGTCTAGGACTTTTCTAAAAAAAATTTTTCAATGTATATAATACCAGAAAAGTAGACTTTATGTCTATCTTTATTAGAAAGAAATGTATGGTATTTCCTACTATCATTTGGATGTATTTATAAGATGGACAATGCTCTAAAATTTTCTGCAGACTGAACATTAAATTGAAGTTGTGTTCATACGATGTCCACAATTAGTAATTTTTATTTTCACCGAATTATCAGTTAACTGATTTTTGCATTTTGTAAAATAAAAAACAGTTAATTAATTTTATTTAGCATTGAATAAATATAGCATGGAACATTTTGAAATGAGGTGAGTACATGTTTAATAATGTGGCAGTGATGTTAGAATCTTCTAACATTGTGCAACTCAGTAGGAAATCTCTTGTTTCCTAGAGACGTTGAATAAGCAGTTGAGACAGTTACTTGGATGTTTTAGTTAAGAACAACACTTAGCTTGAGCAATATGGGAAAATACCCCAATTCTCCACTTTCCTTAGCCACTGGAAAATATTCCAGATAATCTATGTGAAATAAAGTTTTATTTGTCTTTTAATTCTTCAAAAACATTAAAGGTCTTCCTCAGATGATGCCAGAGCTAGTTTACTTCTTAATCATTCTTGGGGAAGGGGGGGTCTTTCTGTCTCTCTCCCCATTTTTTACTTTCTTTAGAATGTTGGATAAAATTCTGTCTTCACTGTTGATTCAGTGTCACTGATTTCAGGATAACTAAAAACAGTTATTTCAGTTACTACCTCTTTTGTTTTCTACCTCTCTAAGTCAGCCCGTCATTCTCTTTCCAGGTGCCCTGACATGCTCCATGGCAAACTGTCAGTATGGCTGTGATGTAGTCAAAGGGCAAATACGGTGCCAGTGCCCCTCTCCTGGCCTACGGCTGGCTCCTGATGGGAGGACCTGTGTGGGTAGGTTGTAAAATCAAGCATCTCTGTTAACAGCCTCTGTAGGATAAAGAAGGAAAGTAAAAGGGGATGGGAGTAAGGAAAAAGGGTAGTTCCTTGCATCAAGTAATTAGCTATCCTTCAGAAGATACCAGATATGTCACAAGAGGACCTTTCTCAGTGAAGGGACCATGGAAGCCTTGTTTTCCTAAGAATGAGGGACAGGAGGAAGTTTCAGGCAAAGGGGCCCTCTTGTGTGAAGGTGTTGAGGTTCAAGGGAGCACAATGTTCAGGGACAGGAAGAGCTTGGTATTGCTAGAATATAAGAGACAAGGGGGAGCGATGACCGATAAAGCTGAACAGGTAGACAGGGCTAGATTGTGTGTGTTGCACTACGGGGGTTAGATTGTTTTTCAGTAAATTAGGAAGGCAGTATAGGATTGTGGTGAAGAGTCTGGACTTTGTTTTAAACCTAGCACTGCCATATGCTAGATATGTAACCCAAGGCCAGAAACTTCCTTTCTTTTAGCCTGGGTCTCCTTATCTTTAAGATGGGAATAATGCCACATAGAACCATTGTGAGGACTGAATGAGATCATGTATCTAAAGAGCTTAGCAAGGTATCTGCATGCAGTAAGCACTGAATGAATGGAGGTATTTGGTGAGTCAAGAGATGTTTATCGAGTACTTTCTATATTCCAGATTCTGTGCTAAGTGCTAGGATATACAGTAATTGACAGTGCAGACAAGATTTTGATCTTCATGAAGCTGACATCCTAATGGAGGAGACAGAAAAGAAACAAATATCTGATAAAATTACAGACAATGTTGAGTGTTAACATGAGATACTAAGAGAGAAAAAACAGAAAGGATCTATTTTAGAAAGTAATGGTCAGAGAGAGCCCTAAGGTAGGACCTGGACCACTAGCCATGTGAAGAACCAGCCATGCAGGTAAACACATTGCAGGGTGCTGCAGTGAGAGAAGTTGGCCTCTGTGAGGTTTTTAAAGGAAGAGGGCCAGTGTGGCTTAGGTACAGAGGGTGAATATGAGGGGTGGTGGCTTGAGAAACAATGGGTGAGGTAGGGGAGGGCTATTTATTGCAGGGCCTTCAAGGACATGAAGAGGAATGTGGAGTTAATTAAAAAGCAAGTAGAAGCAGTTGAACGGTTTTAAGCATAGTAATGATCTAATCTTATATTTTTATAAAATCATTTTGACATTTGGATAGGGAATGCTTTGGAAGGGGTAAGATTGGCAGTTAAAAGACCAGCAAAAAGAGATGCTGGCTTGGAATAGGTTTAGTGGCAGTGGGTGAAGGGAAGAGTACCTAGGTTCAAATAAATGTCCAGAGGTAGAATTAACTAGAGTTGGAGATTCAGGAGTTAAGGGAAAAAGGGCTGTCAAGGATGACTCATATTTCTAGTTCAAGCAAGTAGGTAGATACAGGTGCAGTATGTGCTAATATAGGGTGCAAGAATTCTTGGTTTAGGAGGATGAGCTGAAATTTGGAGAAGTGGAATTTATGTTGCCTATAGGGGCAACCAGCTGCATACCACTTATGATGAGCTACTGTGTGCCAGGCGACAGTTTGCAGTCAGGTTATTTATTTTAAAACCCACTGTACCTGAACAAGTCCTTGATCTTCCTGAGATGCAATTGACTTATGTTTCTAGATATTGATGAATGTGCTACTGGAAGAGCCTTCTGCCCTAGATTTAGGCAGTGTGTCAACACTTTCGGGAGTTACATCTGCAAGTGCCATAAAGGCTTTGACCTCATGTACATTGGAGGCAAATACCAATGTCACGGTAATAAAACCCAACCATTGCTTTCTCTTCTTACTTCCTATGGCACCAAAAGGTCCCTTTACTGGGGTGACGGCTGGGATGTCGGGGCAGGGGAGGGTAGTGGCATTAAATTTAAAAAAAAACAATACAAGTCCAGTTTAACCACTAGTAGTTCTGGCTACATGTACTTTATTTCTTTATATCTGATGATTTTACATGGATTTTTACATGTTTTCACATTGCAAAAACAAAAATTATATTTGAAACTGTATATATTTTTCATGTCATCAAATTTATCTCCTAAATAAACCCTTTCTTTTCCTACTTGCTGATACAGATATAGACGAATGTTCCCTTGGTCAGTATCAGTGCAGTAGCTTTGCTCGATGTTACAACGTACACGGGTCCTACAAGTGTAAATGTAAAGATGGATACCAGGGCGATGGACTGAGTTGCGTGTGTGAGTAACACTTGTCTCCCAGCTGTAAATTCCAGCAGGAAATGCAGGATCACACAAAGGCAATTGCTAGGGAAGATAGGAATAGGATTAATTATCAAAGAAGTATAATTTTCATAGCTAGTAATTTTAGGCTGTGCCACAAACAATAAAATCATTTGCTTGGATATTTTTTAAAACCTAGACTCAGTAATACATTCAAATTTTGAAATCATTAGAATTTCTTGACTAAAATCTCTCAGTAGCTTTCCTTTAGCTGGAAAGTAATTATAGGGATCTCCCTACGAATTCAATTTTGCTAAAATGAGAAATAAATGTTTGCTATTAGCATTAGATTATGATGGTGGGATAATCTGAATATATTGAACCTTTTTTTCCCTCTGTTTTATGCCTCCTAATGCTACTATTAAAAAATCATTGCCATACTTATGTCCTCTACATTCAGAACTATTTTGCTTTTAAAATTTTTATGAGCTGTATTTGGATTTGTGGCTATGTTAGCAGATAAACATGAAAAGAATACATAGCCTCCGAGATAAAAGTTTTACAAACTGAAGGGTATAACTTAGCATACATCTTATGTAACAATAGATAATTTTAAAAATTTCATGAGTAAAATATTTACTGAAAACCATGGGGCATAAAATCATGGGGAGTAAAGGATTACTGAAGGGTCATGTAGTCAGTCCCAGTCTGGAATATATCATTCAAGGCAGATTAAGTATTGATTTTTTGGTGAAGATTATCAAGGAAAAATATTCCACAGATGATCCTTTTGACCTCTGAAAATTTCCTTTTAAAAAGCAGTTGTATAAATTAGTAAGGGGTAAGGAACACCAACTATAAAACAATATGTAGAACATTAAATCAAACTATTTTTTGCATGAGTTGAATTTATATAAAATGTGGATGAGAAAGTATTAGTCTTCAGACAACTCTAAACATGATTTTACAATGTACATGTGGCAAAGGGACACTTAACATAGACTCTAACTATATGTTTCTCATATTGAAAATAGAACTTAGAATGTCTCTGTATTGTAAAAATTTCATTTATTGTTGTCTGTTTCCACTTTACAAATATTTAAAACTTTTTTTTGTTTCAAATAGTATATATTCATTACAGAAACACAAACATGTTTTTTGCATCCATCCAGAGGATGGATATATATGTATATATGAATGTATATGTATATATATATATATACAGACACACACATTTGCTATTTGGAAAATAACATGCCTTGCAGTAGGGAATATTCCAAATATGAAAAGTAAGAGTAGTTGGGCGTGAGATGTTTTCATGTGTCTGGTTTATACAGTTTGATGTTTCATTTTTTAGGGAGGGATGGTTACACACTAATTTAAATCTTTTGACTCTTTCAGATATTCCCAAAGTCATGATTGAACCCTCAGGTCCAATTTATGTGCCAAAAGGAAATGATACCATTTTAAAGGGTGATGGAGGACATAATAATTGGATTCCTGATGTCGGAAGTACTAGGTGGCCTCTGAGGACACCATATATTCCTCCTGTCATTACCAGCAGGCCTACATCCAAGCCAACAATAAGACCTACACCAAAGCCAACACCACAGCCTACTCCACCACCACCACCACCCCTGCCAACAGAGCTCAGAACACCTCCACCAACAACACCACCAGAAAGGCCAACCATCAGACTGACAACTATAGCACCAGCTGCCAGTACATCTCCAAGTGTGATTACAGTTGACAACAGGATACAGACAGATCCTCAGAAACCCAGAGGAGATGTGTTCAGTAAGTCACATAAATGTTAGCACATTTTAATAGGTCCTGTATAATGACATTTCAAGCCCAGGCCATGCCTTGAACAATAATCAAATTCATAAAAAGAATTAACTGTAGAAAGTCATATATCCTCATTGATAAATATTATTAAGATCTGTGTAAAGAGTCTAACTGGGTAAATAGAAAAAAAAATGTGTGTGGAGATGGAAGGAATATCACAAAGTCATATGGTAGATCACAGCTCTTCGGTATGGGAATTCTCTTAACATAGATTCTCTTAACTTAGTCTCTTAACATAGATAACTCTCAGAGACGGGAAGAACTTACTATATCTCATGCCATTTTACTCTAATCTAACTGTTGGTTCATTCAGTCAGTGAACATGTTTTGAGTACCTTTAGAGTGTCAGGAAGGCCTTGTATTGGCCATTGGGCTTAGAAAGATAAACAGAAAAGGTCACAGTTTGGTAAGAAAGACAGTCACCCAGAAGAGAACTGTGGAATTATGTTAGTGAAAGAGATTGTGTAGGACATTACGGAGTAGAGAGAAGGGGTATCTAGTCAATCGTTGGAGAAGGGATATTCATGGAAGCCTTCATGAGTGGAATGGGAGAAAGGGGATGAAAAAAAGCAGGCATTACAGTTAATGGGGAAAGGACAACAAAGGCACAGATGTAGGAAGCAGCATAGCATAAGCAATCAACTGCCAGTAAACTGGAGAGATGAGAGGGGCTGCACTTCATGTATTTGCTGGAAACTAGTGGTTAGATCTAGACTGGAGCTAGATTAGGTTAAAGACTCCCAGATTTTTAACAGGTGACTGTGTGAAGGGTGGTCCCACCAATGGACACAGAGGCTATAGGAAAAGAAGCAAATTTGGAAGGAAGAAAAAGTTGTTACTTTATTACCAGATCAAAATTTGCATTATATACCTTCTGTATGCTCCTTATATTTATCTGTCTGTCCTGTTTCACTTTGCTCATTCTTAGCTACCTTTGCGTTCACTCCCATCTCCTCCTCCTCTGTATACATTGCCAGTTTCTTCTTTTTCTTTTATCATTCCCCAATGGAACTAAACTTTGTGCCTTTTTTTTTTTTTTCCTTTTTGTCTTTTTTTTTCGTGACCGGCAACGGGATCGCAATCCTCGGTGTTGCTCCCGCACCTCGCTCAGCCAGTGAGCAGCCGGTCTGTATGTGGGATCCGAACCCTCGGCGGGAGCGCTACCGCACTTCCCAAGCGGCGCACTGTAGCAGTGCACCACCGGGCCGGCCCAACTTTGTGCCTTTTATGCTGAATACCTTTGTAATTTTTTAGCAGGTGAAAAGAATACTGACATTAGTAATTTTTTATAGGAGAAAATTAAAAGCTGCTCTTTGCTTGTGACTCTCAAATTTTTTCCTCTAGGTCATTTTTCCTCATAGGTCTATTTAAAGAGAGATTGAGATCCTCTAATTCTGATGTATGTGTTTATGTTTTGGGTAATTAATATAATTTTTAGGGGGATTAGATCGTAGCTTTCAGTGCATAACTATTTTTTTTTTTGAAATTCACATTTTCGTAATTTTTTCCTTCTTCCCTTCTTCGCTCTGTCTCTGCTGTCCTTTCTTACTCTTCTATTTTTTTTAATCTTTTTCTGATTATGCAATGAGATTTTTATTCACAGGTACTTAAGTAAATATGGTATTCTCATTATTCTGCTGCTTTAAGGTATGAATCATGAAAATCTGGCTATTTAACATAAAAAGACACTGTAACATAGGTAACATCTTTGTGAGTATTCCTTTTAATTTCTTTTCTTTTTAAAAAGTCTCTCTTGCTTCTCATTATTCCTCTTCATACCAACATACATTTGAATTAAAAATAACATTGAAGTTCACCAATAGAATTTAGCAGGATAAAATAGGGAAAATATGGAGTTCCAGTGACGTTTGAGAGCATTCATTTTAAGAGAGTGTGATCTTAAAGACATCCCTGGAAAAGGCCTTCTTGGTCCTGTGCCAAGGCTGTTGCATGCCAGAGATAGCATGGCCGCCTTTGGACACTCCTGCCAAAAAATTAAATTCCGCTCTCATTTCATCTTCAGCAAGAGCTGCTAGTTAAGTTAGCACATGTGAGAATATGTTGGACACTTACTAACTTGCTGTTTTGTGGTTATAGCAAATATTCTGAATAAGGGAAGGGTTCTAAGTTTTTAATTTAGGACAAATTAGTGTCTTTTCAGTATGAAAACAATCAGGAAACTTAACACTATTTTAGTTCACCACCATTTCTTCATTGAATATTTTCTTCGCTTGTGGCATAATGACTCCTTAAACCATTCTTATTCTCCACATGTCTGAGAATATAATTTGGCTTGCCTTATTTCATAAATTTTTGGGTGATGTTAATTATGGCCACAATTTCAGAGTCTTCTCCAAATAGCCCCATACTTCAATTTTACTTTTTTTTCACATTGAAAGATTTTTTAATTATATTTTTAACTGACAAATAATAATTATATACACATATGGGGTATGAAAGATTTTTTTTTAATGGAAGAGTTTATGAAACAGAACTTTTCTTTATACCGTGTGTGTGTGTGTGAATTGTCCACCTGAGAAAATATGTAAAGATTTTCTAAGAGAAAATCAAGGAAGAAAAAAATTTATAACAAGAATAGATCTCCAGCCCAGACTTTTCCCCAAACTCTAGACTTGTATATCACCTGACTGTTTAACCTCTCCAGTTAGATGAAAATAGATGTTTCAGATTCAACTTGTCCAAAATTGTTTCTCTTCTTTCCCCCAAGCATAACTCTATCCTCAGCCTTTCACACTCCAGGTGAGGGTATCTGCATCCCCTGTTGCTAAGGCCAACTAATATAGAGTCATTCTGAGTTATTTCTTTTATATACTCGCATCCAATCTATTCCTTGCTAGCCCTACCCTCAAATTATATCTAAAGTTTGAACCACTTCTCACCATCTCCAGTGCTACCAATCTGGCTCAAGTCATCTCTCCCCAGAGTACAGATCCAGAATCCTTTATCCAGATGACTTGTCGGATGGGCTGGTCTGTTACAGCACAGCCTTATAAAACCAAGGTCATGGGTATAGATCCCCGTACCGGCCGGCCACCAAAAAATCTCAGATGAGTTGTGGAATATAGCACTTCTCAGATTTTAGAAAAGTAATAAGGTACATATGCTGTATATTAAACACTGAAGCATATTAATGTTTCTGCAGTGAAACATATAAATGATATCAATTCAGAGATAATGTCTCAAAGCATGTATTTCCTAACTCTTGAAACTAATTAAAATACTTTTTAATTTATGCTTTTATTATTGAAAATTTGGCCTGTGTAAAGGTACGCAAAATTTTTAATGCAAGAAATATTTAAGAAACAACCCCTATAACAGTGTTTTCTGTGGGTATAAACAAGGTACCACTGACACTGGAGTTTTTGTCCTTTTACTGCTTCCACAAAAGAAAAGGGTACAAAACAGCAAAAAAGTTATTTAAACTTCAAGTAAGTAGCTGGATATGATAGTTATAACAGTGTTTTGGTATTTTAATAAAGGGCCTAAAAACTTTTATTCAAACCAACTTTAATTAATTATCCAAGTCTAATATCCTTAAGAGGTCTCTTTTAAATCAGCCCAATTATATCCAGAATCTCTGAAGGTGACTCACGTCTTTTCTAGTAACCCATCCAAATATTGGGACATTCTTTTGCTAACCTAAATTTATGAAATTTCAGTTTATACCTTTTTAATGTTGTCAGTACTCGGGGGTAACAGACACAGTTCATCATCGACTTCAGATCCCATGCTCCATGTATGTACTCAAGCAATCCTTTCAGGAAATGACTCAACTGTTTCTTCTTTGGGCTTGGAAATTTATGTTTTACTAATTTTTTTTTAGAAATACTATTTTTCAACCTACCTGGCAATCTTTTTGTCTGGTCCTTTGAGCAGTCTTTGTTTTTCAAATCTATCACAAACTATGGGGTCCAGAGATATGTAATAGTCAGATCTGACCCATACTGATCACAAGGCAAATTTTTTTTACATGTTTTATAATCTAAATCATTTCCCTCTGTTGCCAAGTATGTTATAGGGCAAATTTATGGGCAGCTGTTTGATCCCCAGATGTTTTTGCCTTAGACGGTCACACAGTGCTCAGTACATAGAAGACACTCAAAAATATTTGTTAAATAGAGTGAAATGGAATTTTATATTGGATTCCATTTTTTTCCATTCTCTTTAATTCTTCATATGCTTGAACTATCTAAATTTCACTTGTTGATTTTGAGAGTCCTTCCCCAAATGATCATACTTATTTCAGCTTACAGTCTTTCTGTTATCCTGATATAGTTTAATATAAACATTGAAAATAAACATTCTCTAGAAAATTCTAAGTCTAATATAATTCTAAAATTTAAGCATGATTTTGAGAAATAGTGAAAAGCATAGAAAGGGAATATGAAAATAGGGTTGAAGCATTTGGAACTGGGGGGTTTTTAACTACTAAGTATAGAATGCATTGAATCAGAAGACCTAGTTTTGATTCTCACCTCTGCAACTTATGTGAGTTTGGACTAATTACTGTGCTTTTCACCTCAATTTTCTTATCTGTAAAATGGAGTAATAACCCTATTCTCCCTTTCTCATAGAGTGATCTCAAGGATAAGAGATAATAAAAGTAAAAGTGTTTGTGAATTATGAGTTACTATGAAATATAAAAGATTACTGTATTTTATTTATTTAGTGTAAATAACCATGATGGGGAGAATTTAAATAATATGTGACTAAAGAAATCACCTTTCACGTGTGATATGAAATATTAAACACATGTTTTAAAAATAATTTAAAATTGAGGAACCTTAGAGTTTTTTAGGTTATGTGACTAGAAACATAATCAGATGCACTTGCAGGACTAATCCTATAGCTATAATTTAAGCAGCACTAAAATTCCCCGATATAGCATGAAATTCTTGTTCTTTCATTCATGGGATAGACCAGTGCTG